CTCCACTCCTGTCCCCGCCTCCCCACCTAAAGGCTGTCGGGGGAGTTGACTCTTCGCTCTGGTGATAGAAACCAAATAGTCACCGGGGAGGAGGGGTTGAGAGATTCTTTTGTGCCTTTGATCTCCAGCAGACCCTGGAACCCGCTCAACACGGATCTCATTAATGCAGCTCGGCAGAGGAGCGACCCCGGGAAGGAAGCGCGGTCCGCGGAGCGGCCCGGGCTGTTGGGTCAGATCAAAGCGGTGAACTGAGGCTCATCAGAATTTCTGGAAGCTGCTTTCCCGTCTTGAGTTTCTCTCCTGCGGTCAGGCGAACAGAGGTTTTCCTAGCCGCACGGTGGGAAGCAGTTTTGTAAACTGGAAGAGGGCGTGGCCAATTGCACCTTTAAAAAACGTAACCTTGTTCTGGGACCTAAAGGAAACAGAGATAAGAAAGTCGGATGGATGAAGGATCAAACCCACCAGGTACGGACGGAGTCCTGGTTTCCTCTATGGCAGGTCCTCAAAATTTAGCCTGCACAGGACTCACTTGGGAAATTGGTTAAAATGCAGGTTGGAGTTCAGTGGGGCGAGCGCTGACCATCTGCGTTTCTAACAGGACCTCAGAGGGTGGCACCTGGACCTGTGCAGATCTGCACACTGAAGCCTGTCTGTCACAGGTAGAGAAATGCAGAACCGGGGTTTAGAAACTTTTGTAACAATTTTAAAATACCACGACATCCAAGCGCCTGATCGTTGGACTCTTTGAACCGAGTATACACCAGTTCGGGTGTTGTCAGACTGCATGGTGAGTCATATACCTGGCACAGCAGGGATCGCCTATTGGTTCCTAGCAGAGCGTTGACAAAAATGACTGGTTCTTCACCACAAGTAGTTTGAAACGCGCTCTCTGGGATTTGCCAACTCATGCTTTAAAACTCAAGCCAGAAAGTCACATCTTCCAGAGGAAGCCTCCCCGGAGATGCCAAGCCACTCACCCTGCTTCCGGCTCCACCGAGACATGGGTGTGGCTTATTTCTAAGACTATTGAAGAAACTACATCATATTATAAGGGGCTTTTTATTGCTGTCCTACCCATCTTCAGTTGGGAAAATGGAAGCTCCTTAAGAAAGGGAACTGCGCTTTAAAATTTGCATCCCCTGTCTTTCTCAAAGAGTGAATGAACCCTTGTGTGAAACTCCAAGCATGTTTATAACCCTTCTCAGAGCAGTTCTCCAGCATTAATATTTATCCAGCCCACCCCCTGTGGGAAACGTCATGGTATAAATTTGTGATAGTGCACTAGGCTGTTGCCCTGTTTCATAGGTTTAGAGACGCTTAGGCCAATAAAGACCGTGTCCCAGATTGAAGATCGAGCCAGGATAAACAACAGCAATCCCAGGCACCAAAGTGCTTAGTCAAATGAGTCCTACTGCCACCTGTGTTCAAGTATGGGAGCAGAACAATTACAGTCATTATGGTATTATTAATCTGTACAGAACATCTTCCAAGAGAAATTACCAGGCAGCTTGTTCAAGTGGGTGTGTGGGTGGGGCGTGGATCCCAGCAGCAGCCCAGGCACTGAGTAATGTATTGGGCAGTCTTGGCCAAGACACTTTCCAATATTGGCTCATCAATTGTAACAACTTACCACACTAATACAACATGTTAGTAATAGAGGAAGCTAGGGAGAGGGGCAGTGAGGGAGTAGATGGACACATTCCCCTCCATTTTTATGTAAACCTAAAACTGCTCTAAAAATAGAGTCTAAGTTTTTAAAAGTCACATTTCTGTTGTTTAAGAAGATATAGTTAATTACCCCCCCCCCAACTTGACTCATATGAAGAATATGAGCCAGATCCAATCCATAAGGGTTGAATTTTACTAACTTATTATAATTAAAAAGTTTCTCTCACCTGGGACTGTTGTTCAAAAAAAAAAAAAAAGCTTGTTTCTTAATCTCAGGTGTGGGCTGAGTGCTTAAAAATCTGAATGTTAGTAAGCACCCAACTAGGCAATTCTCAGTGTGAGAATTGCTGCTTTAAGGTTGTCAGAATTCATCAGATTTTCCTCATAAATGTACATTCTCAAAGAGGTGTAAAGATAAACTGAACAGTTAGGCTATTTGCTGAATAAACAGCAAAGGTCGTGATATATATATATATATATATATATATATATATTTAAGCTTTCTAAATAGGATATCCAACTTTCATGTATTTGGGGTTGAATCCGGTGTTTAAAAGGACTCTTACATTTACAAGGGCTTTGACAAAATTGGGCAAAAATGGGGAAGCATTTTAAATCCATAGATTTCTAAGAATATCCACTTTCGTTACCATTTTTAAAAAGTTAAGTGCTTCCTTTCAAGGGTCTGTAGAACCCTTTGGTCAAAGCTGTTTGGGCTAAAACAGTTAAACCCTGCCTTCCGACAAGTAACAGAGGCTCAGGAATGTTAATGCTCTGAGGCAAAGCTCCTTCCCAGTTACCCTACTTATTTCTCAAAGACACCATGCGAATGGAGTGCTATATTTTCAAATTAAAACATCAATAAAGCTCAAACAACATTCTCTTATTTAGCTGCACAAATTAATCCACAATTGACAAAACTTTATCTTAATATAGGTGGGACCATTTTGCCACTCTAAAGGAGGATTATGTATGCATATATGTGAGTGAAGTACTACAATGGTCCTGTTTTGTTTTCCACCCAAGAGTTTGTTTTTAGTTGAAATGGGTTGTCTTAACTTCCTTTGTGATTTCAAATTGCTTTCTTTGCTGTTATTCTGTTGCTTTTTAGCAGCTCTTAATCTGGGTGTATTTAGTGTGGAGCGTCTTTTCCATTACCTTTGTTTTTATAAAACACTCACCTCTAATTGCTCCAATCAGAGTAATGGTTTAATTACTAGTTACGGAAAGGGAAAGTTCTAGAAGTTTCTTTCACACAAATTAGAGGTTAATAACTGACACAACTGTAAAATACTGTTCTTCGTGTTTAACTAAACAACATTTCTTCCTTTCGGGTCACTTACAGTCCTGGATGTTTAAAAATTCACGTGTGTTTGTCTTTTTGAACAAACAAAAATTAAGGGAATTTTTACATTAAGGGAATTTTAAACATTTGCAGACAAGTGTTTCTTTTATTTCTCATTAAGTTGCAATTCAAAAATCCGGAAGGACATTTTTCTCCATGTGAAACTGCAATGGTGAAAGATTTCTATAAAAAGAACAAAATTGAGGAGGGGGGATACTTGAAACGCTTCACCTTGTAATAGAACTTAACAAGTACAAAAGTACAGAAATAAAGCAAAGATAAGACACCCCAAAAAAAACTAATTTGTTAGCAGTCATTTTTCTAAACGAGATGGGCTAGGGCACTCAGTGGACAGTTGATTCTGACTAAATCCCAATCACTTCAAAACCACAAGAATGCTTTCTAAATTGGGAACCCACACAAACACCGAGAGTTGTTTTCATAAATTAATCCATTTCCATTAAAGTGGTTAGTCCGGTCTTGCTGATTGTGATAAATGGTATAAATCCTGGGAACATTCGGAGATGGTCTATTCTGCCCCAGTGGACTGTTGCTTCCCCATTTCCTTATATCTTCATGCTCCCATCTTTTCTTCCAGTGGCTCTGAGGCTGACTCTCCATTGTTACCCTCTCTCCACCTCTGTTGTTTCTGTTGATAATGCTAATGTTTACCACTTCTGAACCTTGTGCCCTGACAAATTCTCCCCCTTCCTGAATCTTTCTGCTCACGTTATCCAAGCCAATATATGTGATTGTGTGTATTTGACCTGAAAATAGCTGTTTTTTTAACCTAATTGCTCCCTGAACTGTTAAGCCATCTCTTTTCGAACCCCTAACTTTTCACTGTCTACAATTCATCTCTAAACAATCAACTCCAATGCCTTACAATGGGATTTTCGCCCTTCATCCCACTCTCTTGAAGATGGCCATGACCTCAAAATAATCAAGTTCAATAGCCTGTTCTCAAATTTCATCCTCCTTGACATTACCCCTCTTGTGAAACTCTCTAACATCTTAGTTTCCAGGGCCAACTTCACTGTTGGGCCACCTGCAGAGTTGGCTGCACAGGCTCAGAAGGGGCCCCGTTCTTGGTTTTGCCGTCATAAAATTCTTGCTGATTTTTTAACAAAGGACCTTGCTTTTTTCCCCTTCTGCACTGGGTCCCGGAAAATTATGTAGCCGTTCCGACCTAGCTTTTCTCACACTGCATTGGTCTGGTCCTCCCACCTCTTTGACCTGTTTCTCTGCCACTTTTTCAGGCTCCTCTCTCCCTCCAGCCTCCAAAATGTGGTCATTCCTAAGCATGCATTCTCTTCCCCACTCTGACATTCTCAGTGTTACATTAATTCTCGGTATTTCCACTGCCGTCTCTTCATAATGATGTCCAAATCCATACTCACGCTCTATGAAGTCCCCTCCCCATATTTTCAACTATCCGTTGGATTTTTCCTAGTCAGGGTCTTCTCATCCTGTATATGCCCAAACTAAACCTTCTTTGTTCTCCTCATCAACACCTACCAACTTTCCTACATTTATTAATGGAATAATCATAATTCAGTCATCTTAATGAGTGGATATTGTCATATAGAGCTGCCCCATATCTTCCAATGATCCTATCTACCTGCTAGAAGGTCCTCACATGGTGAATCCCTTCAACCCAGTAGAGAACCTTCAAGTTCCATTTGCTCTAAACATGCAACTTCAGTTCTACTAGTTGGATATACCCACTGGAGATTTAACTCAGTAAACAAACTGCATGTTGGTGGCCCAGGCCGTGGCAGAGGCAGCATGTTTTTGTGGCCAGCTATGGGGGCAGAAGAAGCAGGTTTCCTAGGTCGGTAGGTGAAGCAGCCTCTGACCAATCAGGCCTGCTCTGTGCTGTGGTTCTAAGAATTGTTTCTGGAAGCTTTGCCTAAAGCCCATCCTCCAGCTCTGCCAATGATACAGCAAACTTTGTAACACTCTCTAATAAGTCTCCTTTTGTTCTCTGAAATAGATTTTGTTGCCTACAATTTGCCAATACCTCAGGAGGACTGACACCCGCAGATTGAAGAAAGTGGGCCACTGTGTTTGGGAATGCGTTCCTCAAAACGGTCTGTGGCCCTTTTGGTGCTAGGACTGGCTAGGACTAGTAGTGCCATCCAGGCCACCCTGGCCCCAGGTCCTGTGTGGGCTTTACTCTCAGTCTTTCCCCATTTGGGGCCCTCACTAACCCCCTATCATGCACATGGTGTCATCCAGAAGTCCAGAGCTGGCATTCATTGGGGACCTCATGGAGCTTATGGGTTCTCAGTGACTCACTCACCCTGGACAGAGGCAAACTGCAGTACTCTTTGCCACCAATAGTCCCCCATGGTGGACTGTTGGACTTAGCCATGTGTGTAACCTCCTGTGTCAGGCCTCACCTGTATGTTCTGACAAACAGTGGTACTGCCTGGGCCTATAGCACCCTTTGCTGTGGGGAGGTGGCAAGTGTCTTTATACTGTGTGGCTCCACCCTAGGCACACAGAACAGTCATCCTACTCCCTTCACTGGCTCTGAGCCTCACATCAGGCAATCTTCCCAGGTTAACTGCACCCACATTCTCCTTGTAGACAGTTGCTCAGCATTGTCAATCAGCCCTTCCAATCAATGTCTTCTCTTGCCTCCAATCAGTATGGTGTCTTTAGTCTTGTGAGGGGTCCTTAATCTGAGCCAAATGAGAGATGAGCATTTCTTGCATGAATGGGACAGCTCTTCCCACTCCGCTCATGGCCCCACCCCCACCTCCCCACTGGTGGTGGCGCTGGAAAGCCAGGGGCACTCAACATTGAAATCAACCATATGCTCAGAATGCCTTGCTTACAGCCCGTGAAGTCCAAGAGCAGATATAATTGGGAGATGTGTTGTTCAATGGTTATGCTATAAAGTTCTCAATGGTAAATTTTTCAAAAATTTGTTTTTCAATTACTGTTGACATGCAGTATTCATTTCAGGTGTATCACATAGTGATTAGACATTTCTACACCTTACGAAGTAATCACTTGGATAAGCCTAGTACCCATATGACCCTCAGTGGTAAATTTAACATGACCCAGAAATGAATTATCATTCACATTTTCCTGCATATTCTGGGTTGGACTTGCATTTGTGGTTATCATTAACAAAGCACTGTGACAACCTCTGAGGGTGTCACAGGCCCACGATGGACAACACAGGGTCATAAACAACAAAGCAGTCAGCTTTACGTAAATGGAATTAAGAAGCTAGCTACGGAGGTATGAATTTCTGTATTGTTTTAATACAAACAGGTTCTAAGGATCCATGACACTGAATAATAAGTTTCCCTACCCTTTTTCATGGTGCGAGACAGAAAGTAGCCACGCGTCACATTTGACAAGACGAATGGGAGATGTCTTCTGAACGTAAACAGGAAAAGTTGGTGCCTGGGCCCTAAGAGGAATCTTTATGTACACTCATCGGAATAAACAAATACTCAAAGGCTTATTAAATATCCATGGAGAAATCACCTCACATGGGCCCAAGCATTTTGTAACATATTTTAATTAAATTATTTATATATACTCGTATACAGGGGTCCCACACACCCTATGGGAAGCCCCGAAGGACAATATAGAAAGCCTAAGGCTGGCATGCAAGTGAGAAACTTGGGGATAGGATTCATGAGATACATCACAGGGTCGATTCTACGCAAACTCTTCAGCAACCTGGTAAGGCCTTGTTTTCCCAGCTGACATGGCCTGAAGTCACCACGATTGCTTCTGCTTCTTTAATGAGTTAGGAATATGTTTAGAATGTTCTTTCCCTAATGTTTCCATTAAATGCAAGTGTGCTGTTGCTGAGAGTATTAGGGGGGAAATCAGATAAGTGCAGAGAGTTGTTTATATAAGAATGTCCAGGACAGAGTTGTATAGAAGAGTTAGGAGCCTGGACAAGGCATCAATGCCTGGAGGCAGGAGGCAGGTTGAGTGATAACTGCATGGCGGCCACTCTTTATGTTAGTTACTGTTCCTCTGTATGAGCCACCTAAAAGGAAGTGGATTCAGACAACGGTGATTTATGATTTCTCACAATTCTGTGGCTTGACTGGACTTGACTGGGCTTGATGGTTGCTGATGTCAAGTGAGCTCTCTCTCAGGCAGCTTCGGGCAGACCGGTGCTCTGCTGTGCCTGGTCATAGGACAGGGCCTTCCGCACACAGCAGGAGCCTGGCTGGGGCAGTGGGGACAGCTGGCCACTCTCTCCACATGTCTTTTCCCACACTGTGGAAGTCTCAGGATTCCATTTACAGTATGTTCATTGCATTTAGTACATTAACAACGCTGTGCAACCATCTATCTAGTTCCAGAATATTTTCATCACCCCAACAGCAGACTTCATACCCATTAAGCAGTTACTGAGATTCCCACTAGCCTCTGGCAACCACTAATTTGCTTTCTGCCTCTATGGATTTTGCCTATTCTGTATATTTCATATAAATGGAGTCATATATACCTTTTGTCGCTGACTTCTTCGATTCAGCGTAATGTTTTCAATGCTCGTCAGTGCCATAGCATGTATCAGCACTTCATTCCATTGAATGAGTAGACCACATCTTGTTCATCCGTGTGTCAGCTGATGGATAGTTTGGTTGTTTCCACTGTTTGGCTATTGTGAATAATGCTGCCGTGAACACTTGTGTACCTGTTTTTAATTCTCATACCCAGGAGTGGAACTGCTGGGTCACATGGTAATTCTATGTTTAGCATTTTGAGGAACCAGCAAGCTGTACCCCTCGTGGGCCATTTTTAATCCACCAAACTCTCCATATTCATTGATGTGGCGATATGAATAAATAAAAGTTACCAAATGATATGTTTCATCTGTATGTTACAGAAATTTAAAACAAACAGTGGTTTAAGGCAGGCATATTTATGTTTCCCTCACAAACAAAGCCTGGAGGCCCAGGATGTTCCATAAGGTTTTCAGGGCCCCTGACTTTTTCCAGCGCGCTCTCTCTGCCTCTCTCTGCAGGTGTCCACAGGGGCTCAGCCTTGCAGTTTGAGAAGGAGGTTTCAGCTTCCTAAGCAGCAGGAAGCAGCAAGGGATGATGACTTACCG